TCCAGAAGCTTTTATTAAATATTGTTAGGTTATTATTCTAATATGTGCACATAAGTGTGAAATTTTTGTTTTGTTCAAAGTTATTTAGTCCCATTGTGTTTATAGTTGCATATCATGTATGGTTAGATATGCTAGTTCACTATAAACATTGCTCTGATACCAACCTGTCACACCCCCGAACCAGACGGCGGAAACGTCCGGGGGCTCGTGTGACTAACAATTGAATTATCATCACAATGAATATACATGAAACATAACACATTCATCACCAACATTACATGTAACAACCAGCATTGTTCACATCAAGTACATTGTTATAAATTACATAAATTGAATGTATTAATAGTACGATGAGTGATGTTACACAAAATAAATCCATACACACTTGAAAATCTTCCTGCTTAACGATTACCTGAGAAAACAAGTTATTTTGAAAACGGTCAACATATATAATGTTGGTGAGTTCATACCCCCTTGTTTTCAGTTTTTACATGATTTTTGGGGGAGAATACAAGTAAAATGTGTAGATCTATGTGTTATATGCATGTCTTGTGTGATTTCTTAGTTTATTTTGTAAAAATGTGTTAGATCTTAACAAATCTCGACATCTTAAGTAACATTGAGTAAAGATCCATGAACTAAGACACCTTATACATCATATTATCAAGTTAAAAGTGTTTATATGTTGAAGATATAAAAATTTAAGGCAAAAACCTTGTTAAGGGTCAAAATTGTCAAAAAAACAAAAGATAAGGGCAAAAAGTGACATTTATGTTTTATAAGGATCAAACAGGTCCTACTTGTATACAAATGGATTTTTATGATAAACATGCTTTCCAAAGGGGCAAAAATGTAAATTTTAGCTCAATGGGCCAAACATTTGGGCCTCACGGTTTTGGGCCCAAATTTGCGAAAAAAATGAAAGTTTTGGGATTAAAAATGTTATTTGATCAAAGTTTGAGTCATAAATGTAAATAAACCAAATTTAGGGGTGAAAATAACATTTATTTCTAAATGGGACCAAAAATGTAACTTTTATCAAAATTAGGCCGAAAGTGTCAATTTTTACAAACAAGGGGCTGAAAATGCACTTTTCTGCAAAATTTGGGCCAAAAATGTCAAAATATAAATTTTTGGACTAAACCCGTGAATTTCTAAACATTTGGGACGAAAGTACAAATTTTTATAAATTATGGACTAAAGTGTTATTTTTACAAAACTTTGGGCCTTAATTGAAAATTTGAGGCTTATTGACCAAGAACGTCGTTTTTACAAAAAATATGACTTTTTATAATCAATTTGGTAAACCTCGAGTTAAATATAAACAACGAAACAATAACGAATGGACGAAATACATCGATAACAATTTTATTGGGCCTAATATTCACATTACATGGCTAATGGGCCTTAAAGGCCCATTCAAGTGTATATTGAGCCCAATATCTTCCATGACATGTTTATTGGGCCTTGCGACCCATTTACATGTTAATTTGGGCCTGAGCTATGGGTCACATGTTTGTTGGGCCTTGGTGGTCCATTTACATGCCTATTGGACCCAAATTACCCTCCTACATGTTATTGGGCCTTTGTGGTCCATTCACATGCTAATTGGGCTTTGACTGAATTTCACATGCTTAGTAGATCATAACTTTATCCCTTACATAGTTATTGAACTTCGTATACTTATGTATGTACCTCTGGATATGAAAACATGCAACATACACGTAAACATTAAACATAGTGAAAAACATAACGAACATGAAAAGTTGAGAATCTAGTGAGACTTGTCGGTTGGCACCTTTGAGTGTACAATCGTAGCCTGTAGTTATAACCAGAGTTTCCTGGAGGGAGAGCGGGAGTTTGTGTATAGATCTATACGGGGTGACCCCCCACGCCTTAGTTGTTCGCTACAGCTAGACTAGGCCAGTCTAGGGCGGCAAAACCTTGAGCAAATACCGACATTTGGAAAAATGTCAAGACAGGCAACCTAGTCATTATCATGTATGGTTATAACGGCTCATATAGAGATTCAATACCAATTTAACATTTCGAAGATGAACCCTTCGATTATGTCAATACGAAATAACTTAAATTAATGATATAAGAACCTCGACATCATTATAAATCAGAAAATATCGGATTTTCTGGGGAAATACTATTATTCAATTGTCACTTACTTACAATACAAAGAAATCTAAACTGCATTCATATATGTTACTACTACGAAATTCACACATGCATCTATACTTGATTTTCACATTATTTTCAGGCACTTTACAGAAAATATCGGATTTTATGGGTTTTACAAAAGATACAAAGACTTTTATCTAAACATACTTATGAACTCACCAACATTATATATGTTGATCGTTTTCAAAATAACTTGTATTCTCAGGAAATCGTTAAGCAGGAAGATTTTCAAGTGTGTATGGATTTATTTTGTGTAACATCACTCATCGTACTATTAATACTTTGAATTTATGTAATTTATAACAATGTACTTGATGTGAACAATGTTGATTGTTATATGTAATGTTGGTGATGAATGTGTTATGTTTCATGTATATTCATTGTGATGATAATTCAATTGTTAGTCACACGAGCCCCCGAATGTTTCCGCCGTCTGGTTCGGGGGTGTGACACCCACATCATCGATTTCATCACATAACACCCCATTTACCTCCAGCAACCACGATGTTCACCTCCTACAATAACCATCATTTACCTCCCGCAACCACAATCAATCACCACCAGGACCAAAATCAAAATCAAAGCCAAACTAAGATCAAATCCCATAACTCAAAACCAGACCAAGATCAAATCCCATGATTAAATCCTAACCAAAGTCAAATCCTAAAATCAAAACCTAACCTCAAATCGATGATATCGTCAGATTAAACACAATGGGATTAAACCCACAATAGGATTCTAATAGAGTTGCAGTTAGATGGGAACCTGCAATGGCGGAGAAGAGCAAAGGAGGTGCAGGTTTTCGACGAATTTAGAGTTGTAGATTTCTTGAGGCGTCACAGTTACAGGCTTCCAGTGGTGGTGTTCACATGATACTAATGACGATGACGAATTTAGAATTTGCAAATTTTGGGAGGAGGCGGCTCCGACAGGGAGTTAAGGTGAACATCAGAGCTTTAGGGTTGAGTTTAGGAGGAGAGAGGTATAGCTTGAGCTACGGTGGTCGATGGCTTCTAGTTGTAGAAGGGAAGAAGTCAACTGGGGGTGGTGGGGATGTGTGGGACCTAACTTTTTTAATAATATGTAAAATAGTTTTAGGAAATAATCTTTAATATTCTTTTAAATATAAATAAAATCTGGTAAGGGTATAATAGTATTTTTATGTCTACTAATGACCGAATGCGTAATTTTAACTAAACCACAAGGACGAAAATCATAACAAAAAGAAACTACAGGGATGGTCCGGGTGCAAAACAAAAGTTAAGGACCAAATGCGTAATTTTAACCAAACCATAGGGACGATTTCAGTAATTTGTTCTTTATTTTAATACTTTACTAAATAAAAATAAAAAACAAAAGAATTGGGCCCACTCCACCCCATGGCCTTTCTCTCTCTTTCTAAACTAACCCAAATATCACTTCATCTTCAAGAAACCCAGATCGATGCTTCAGCAACGCATCTTCTTCTTCATTTGGATCCTACAAACTACCATCGATCCTATCGCTTGGTTCTCCGTTTTGTTCTTTGGGATTAATCTGGTTCGTTTGTTACAAGACAAATATTGCAACATCAGGAGCTACTTCTCTTTGAAGCATTTGATCGAGCACATGGAGTGCATAGCTCGTCTACCCCCACTGAAGACATTTTTATTAGATTATTTTAACCAAATAGATGCAAATTTGTTCCTTCCACAACCATTCAATTCAAGGAGAAAGGGAGATGAAATATGCAATCATGAATTTACAATCACCAAATAAAATAGGACTATGTAGATGTCCCTGTTCTTATTCAGACTTGTGGTGTTATTTTGATTGTAGTTGCTAAAGTGGTGGGTTTGTTGTGGCAAGTTTGATTTGTGAATCTCCAAGCACATTCTAACCTCAAAGATGATATAAATTGTCTTCCTTAGGAACGATTGATACGATTTAGTGGATGTGAGATTTAATCATGTGTTTCATGTAACTATAGACTTCAGTTTTACGATGTGGATATTCACGAGTCTTTGTGAGAGCAGACCCAAACAGAAAGAAGATGATGATACCGTCTAATCGGGTTGGGAAATATCGCCTGAACCACCTGTGATTTAGGGTTGTTCGGATAACTTCCCCTTTTACCAAACGAGCTATGGGTTGTATCGAGCTGAATCGAGTATTGGTGTTTTCTTAGAAAATACGATATTTGGGAATATATCTTTGAAGAAATGGACATTTGAAATCTTTTTAGGCGTGAATCTTTGTTCAAAGAAAGCAGTATTTGTGAAGAAAACACACACACACATGAAATTTCTGAGAATAAATGGTGGTCGGATTTGCAGGTAGAGGACGAAGAAGTGCAGGTAGAGGAAGAAAGTCAAAGAGATAGAGGGATAAAGAAGGGGGAGGGTACGGGGTGTAGGGTGTGAGGTATGAAATTTTCTTTTTTCTTTTATTTCTTTTATAATTATTAAAATATAAAAGTTAATAAAGAAAATGTAAAAAAGAATTAATAAGGGCAAAGTAGTCATTTTAACTTTTTTAGGACCAAAACCACAAGAAATTCTTAAATTTGGACCTTCAATGTAAATCGGGAACTTTTTGGACCATATCCACAGTTTTTTATGAAACCACAAAGGACGAATTTTGCAGTTTAGTCATTTTTACCTCAAGAAGGTTGGTAGCTTTGTTACTGTTGTTATCCTATCATTTCGTTTCATTAATCAAAGGAGTGAAAGACTACTAGACTTCTTTCAATTAAAGTCTAGATAATTATAACATGGTGAACATGAATTTGTATAAAATATTACATAATTCTATATGATTTTGCCTAACGGATTAAAGACGGTCAAAACAAAAATTTCATGAAATTTGAATGAGGTCTAAAACGGTTAGTTGTCCAAAGGGCGGTCGCGTTTTCTTCATATGAACCCTAATCCAAAAGCTCATGAGATTTGAATGAGTTAAAGTAAAGTTGCCCTTAAATTTGTGAAAAGTGTGTTTCGAAGAGGATGAACAAACGTTTAGTTGTAACAGCACTGGAAGGGGGTCGCCTCTTCCTCATTAAACCCTACATCCTATATACCCAGAACCCTAATTGATCCAATCCCAAAATTGCATCCAAGGTCTGTCATTCGATCAGATTAACTTTCAAAATGCCATACAATGAAGACGAATCCTCCGGCAGCGACTCCGATGCCGGATTTGACGAAGATATGGAAGCCCTAAGAAAGGCCTGCTCTGTCACAGGTGTCGACGATTCTGTCGACGACCCCCCCAAAGCATCCACCACCTGTAGCGATTCTGGTGACACCTATGCGTCTGAGGATGAAGACATAGAATTACTGCGTAGCATTCAACAACGTTTTTCTGTTCCAACCAACGATATTGGCAGTGAACAATATCCTATTTCTATGAAACCGTTAAGCATCATTATGCCCTCTGGTTTATCGGATGACAATGAGGATTATGGTGAAGATTTTGAAACTCTCCGTGCTATTCAACGACGATTCTCGCAGTACCACGGTAAAAGTTTTGCGAATTTTCTTTTCTCTTCGTCTGCTTGAATCACTATTCTTTACCGAATTTTTTTTGTTGAATGTTATGTTACATTGTCCCGATGCTTATCCTTTGTGAATAATCAAACGCATTCGTTTCTACCTGGGACTTAGGGGCCACCTCTGTTGGCCGGAAGGCCTAGTGGGGTTCTTTGCATGAACCCTGTGGACTAGTTGAGCCAAAGGTGCCAAATACTGCGCTTACTCAAGAATAAAAAAGCATTTGGGATCAGAACTTGAGGGAAAGGATAGAAACATCATCATCATCATTTTTGCATCAGTCTTTGTTCGTAAGTTATTGTTGCAATTAACATAGATGCATGTTCACAGAACATGCTTGCAATGCTTCCTGCCTGCTTCATTGTTGCCACTTACTGAAGCTGTTTTAGTTCGTTGTATCTGGTTTATTTTATACAACTAAAATTTGTTTATTGATTTTTGAACCAGATAGCAAGAACAGCAACAAGGAGAGTTCTGTACAGAGACCAGAGCAGGTTGGTGCAACTAACATAGAATTGGAAAAGGAATCTTCCCCTAATTTTTTTGTAAAGAGTATTAACAATGGACAAGGGTTTCCAGATTGTGTAGATGGAAGCAACACCAATCAGAATTTGGAATTATCCAGTAACATTACCCCTGAGACTCCTTATGCAAATGTGAGTGAATGGCATGAGCCTGGTTCTGAAATTATTCCAGCCCCAGATTGTGGTTTTCCAAGATCTGCACAGGCATTTGTTGAAGCCATCAAGAAGAACAGGATATGCCAGAAGTTTATACGTAATAAAATAGGACAGATTGAAGCAAGGTTGGAAGAAAATAAAAAATTGAGGGAGCGTGTTAAAATCCTAAAAGACTTTCAGGTGGCTTGTAGGAAAAAAACAGGCCGAGCATTGTCTCAGAAAAAGGATCCACGCATCCAGCTAATTTCAGTTCCAAAACAGAGATCTAATGCGGTTAGTCTCCTTGCAAATGATCTTTATTCTCTCTGATACATCTTTTCTTTGTCTTTTATTGAAAATTTTGATGGCACATTTCCATAATATCTGTGGTGACTCATTTGGGAAGAATCCAAGTTTGAGAGTTTAACTGTTTGATGGATAACAAGATTAGGGTCTAAAGAAACTATGCAGAATGTAATTTGGATTCAATCACATGACATCGAATTAGGCATTGGTTGTCATTAAGATTGTTACTAGTGAAATGGGGATTTACACTTATTTTGTTTGTTTATGCATCTCTCACACATTTGGCCTATAATATTATATGTTAGCTTTATAGTTCCCCAAGTGTCCATTAGGAATTTTGCTTCTATTAGGATGGTTTTGGTCTTTTTGAACAAGTTATTGCTGGTGAGGGCATTTCATGGCTATTTAAAAGGTAATTAATGAGATGGCTTTGTGCCTTTGTCTTTATGAACTTCTTTTTCTCTAAGTCATGATTGGGCCTTTGTTTTTATGTAAGCGATGCACTAAAAAATCCTTAGTCATTTAAATATTGAATGCTATTGAGTTTTCTATAAAATATGTCTTATGTAAACTCTAAACCCTAAAAATGCTCCGCTTTTAACTGGGTAAGTTGGTGTTGTTTTTTGGTAGTCGATCAGTTTAGTTAATTACGAATGGGTTGGGATATATTCATTGATGATAATAATCCTTTGTACGCTGTTTGTCATTTTAAATCTTTACACTTTGGGAATTTTACAGGCTAAGGATAAAGAAATGCATGCAATTAATCAAGGCCCTGCTGAAAATTCCCATGTTGCAGATTATAGAGATGCAATGTCAAAATATCCATTCTCTTTGATTAGGGAACCTTGGTCGACAGAGGAGAATGACAACCTTTTGAAGGGAATTAAACAACAATTTCAGGAAATGTTAACGCAAAACCTTTTCAGGTATATTATTTTGATGCTATCTATCTTATTATGAGTTTGAAAAAAGGTACTGAAGTTTGCAAGTCCTGCTCTTACTTATAGCAACACACTTGTATAGCATTTCTGTTGATTACTGCATTTTACTTTTAAATTTACTCTTTTATTACGACATTGTAGTATGAAAAATGTCTCCTTTTATAGAATTATACTTGTAGGAAGGCATTGCTATGATTGTGTAGTTATTGGAAGTAGTAGAATAATAGATGAAAGGGATCATGTTGCTAATAGTATATAGGTATGATGATATGACAGTGGGGAAGATGTAGATTGCCATGATATGGATAGCATGCTTACAGAAATCACACATCGTGAAATATCAGCAGAGGAAATCCGGTCATTTCTTCCCAAGGTCAATTGGGAACGCCTGGCTTCCATGTATGTCATAGGCCGCTCTGGTCCTGAATGTCAATCAAGGTATAAGTATACCAGTATTTCTCTTAAGTTGCTATTTTATGATTGATTGTAATATAATGTGGTTTGTGAACTGATGATTCAGATGGATGAATAGTGAAGATCCTTTAATAAACTGCGAGCCATGGAGTCTGACTGAAGATAAGAAGCTTTTGTATACTGTTCAGAATCGCGGGTTGAGTAACTGGATTGATATTGCAGATGCATTGGGGACAAATAGGACGCCTTTTCAATGCTTATCGCGTTTTCAAAGGAGTCTGAATGCATCTATAATAAAAAATGAATGGACTCCCCCTGAAGATGAGGAGCTTCGTAATGCTGTAGCTGAATATGGCGAGACCAATTGGCAGCTTGTTGCTTCAACACTTGAAGGAAGGACTGGTACCCAATGCTCGAATAGGTCAGTCAGTTACCATTTTTTTTCTTCAACTTTTTAGACGATATGCAGTGATCAAAGTTGGAATTGGAATTGGGCATTGTGGTGGAAATGGAATGAAAAAGTTCTGATTGTTTTCAGGAATGGAATGGTGCATTCCTTCTGCTAATGGAATGGAATGGAATGATATTAATTATAAATTACTTTTATTTATATTATATAATCTTCGATAACCCCTAGGAACTAAAATTTTCATTCTATAAGATCAGTTTTTTTTAATCTTGCAAAAGTAACTATTTTTAGTTTAGTTCTATTTTAAGATTTCATGGTATTTAATTTATTGTAATCCTTTATTATTTTTAACAGATTTTAAAAAATGACTATATGTATTTACGTATGACTATTTTATTCAATTTAGTCATTTTTAAGCAAGTTTAAAAATGATGTAGTTTTGAGTAAAAAGATGATCCTCCTGATTTAGTGGGCATTGGAACGTATAAAATAACTCAAAACAGGGTAGTTTTGGGCATTGGAGGCCAAGCGGTTTTGAGAAGAAAATAAAAAAAAAGGTGCTTTGTTTTTTTACTCAAAACACACGCATATACATGTAAATTATTTAGGAAAAAATATGTTGAATTGATTAAAGTTTATATTTATAAATTAACATATGTGACTTTATTTATGAATTCTGTTTCATTTAAGTTTGTAATTGTGTATAACATAACATGTTTGAAAAACTGATTCCTTTCTTTCAAGTTTCAAGACAACCAAACATGATAACATAATGCAATGGCCCATTCCATCACTCTGTTAATTCCATTCCATTGTTATCGTGCCAAGAACAAACATTATGCTGATTATTGTGTGTTGCGTTCAGATGGAAGAAGTCATTGAACCCAATGAGGGAAAGAGTTGGGAAGTGGGCCCCAGATGAGGACAAGCATCTCAAAATAGCTGTGAAGCTATTTGGGGCTAAAAACTGGAACAAAATCGCTAGATTTGTGCCTGGCAGGACACAAGTACAATGCCGAGAAAGGTATTGTAATTTATAATGAATATCTTATTATCAGATGTTTGGTTGATTTACATGTAATGTAACAAAAAAACAAACATCTTGTTTGTGTGAGTGTGACAGATGGGTTAATTGCTTAGATCCTGCACTTAACATGAACGAGTGGACTCCAGAGGAGGATTTAAAGCTGAAATATGCAATTTCAGAACATGGATATCTCTGGTCTAAAGTAGCTGCATGTGTTCCTCCACGAACCGATAGTCAATGTCTCAGGTACTCTACTAGCTTTTTTAACAAACACCCAATATTTGCTTTTATTTATTATTCATTTTTTCCCTTTTGTGTGTGTGTATGTGTGTGTGTGGATAGGAGATGGAAGGTGTTGCTTCCACATGAAGTTCCCATGCTGCAAAGAGCCCGAAAGATGAAAAAGGCTGCTTTAATATCTAATTTTGTGGATCGGGAACATGCACGCCCTGCTCTTACTGTCAATGACTTTGTTGCCCCTCTACTAATTGAGTCGCCTCCTGAACCTAATCAAGATCATATAACCTCAGACAATCAAAACCAAAGGTATGCTTTTGTTTTTTTTTTCCTGGTTTTTTATTGTTTCTTTGTGTTCACATTTTAATCGAATATGAACAGCTCGGAGCCACAGCAATGTGAACCTGAATCCTCATTTGGGTATGCTCTTTTGAATCTCCATGATCCAATACTCTTGTCCCATGAAAACTGCAAAAAACAACATCCTTCTTCACAATTCTTTTGTAACATGCATTTAAATTTTCTTTTTCATGGGCAAAACTTTAAGCTAACTTACTTGTCTGCCCCTTATCTCTTTCTCATAATCCTTTATTGTTTTGGATGATGAACTAAAATGGAATGGACCATTCCTTCCATTTTGTTAATTTTCATTTCTTAGCAGTGTTTTATTCATTCCGCAAAGTCGCATATTTATTTATGTTAGTTTTAATGAAACAAATCTTCTGAAGAAATCATGATTTTGATTATAGTACATTTTTTTGCATAAGCTAAAGAATATATATATATATATATATATATATATATATATATATATATATATATATCAAGGTTGTAAAAATCGCTCGACAGTAGCTCGACGGTCGACTGGTGTTAAGGGATTAATCGGTCTTGGCGGGGATTAATCGGGGACCATAGATTATTAATAAAATATTAAAATTAATTAATATTAATATATCTTAAGAAAAACAAGTACTTCAAAATTAGAAAATAAGAAAAATTGTAATTTGGAAATTTGGAAATACGAAAATATTAACATTTTGGTATAATATTCGAAATTTTGAAAATTTGAAAATTTTGGAGTAAAAAAAAAGTTGGTTTTTTGAAATGTTTTTTATTTTTTTTTTAAATTTTTTTTAAATTTTTTTGACATTTTTTTTTGACTTTTTTCGACTTTTTTGACTTTTGTTGACCGATTAATCCCGCCAAGCCCGATTAATCCTCGACGGTTGGAGAACGCCAAGCGATTAATCCACGATTAATCGCCGCTTAATCCGGATTTCTGCAACCATGATATATATATATATATATATATATATATATATATATATATATATTAATCATGATTTTATTTTGGGTTTAATGAGATTATTTTTGTAATAATGAAAATAACATAGAGTTAAAATTGTACATTTATTTACATGTATTGTATTATTTAATACAATACTAGTTAGAAGAAGTAAGTTATTGGTGATGATGAAGTTTTGTGTGAAATTGCAGAGCTGTTCCGAGAGTTAGATCTAGGAGGGCAAGAAAGGTAAATCCTACTGAAAAAGTATTGAAATTGATTGATGAAGATGAAGATGAAGATGATGGTGACATGAAAGGCAGTAATAATAGAATATCAAAGAGGAAGCAAAGTTTGTCAAAACACAACCCAAACCCAAACATCTCATCTCAAGAGAGCGGATTGTCGGATCTAAATGTTGATGGGGACAATTCCGAAATTAAAAAGTATGCCCGGAAGCGGAAACGAAGGTATGATCTCATTTTTTTTGTTCAAAGAGTGTAAAAAAAAACTTGCTTTGATTATAACATCCTTAAAGTTGCGTTTGAAGTTTTTTTTTTTTTTTATTAGACATTGTAGTTTGATTTTTTTTTCCACAAAATTGTTTTGTAAATATTTGGATGAGAGAGAGAGAGAGAGAGGGTACAGTTACAGTAGAATAATGGTGTAATAGGAAGAAATGATGAAAGTATGTATATGTATGTTAGGCTAAAAGTAAAGTGATTGAGATTTCACATTGATTATGCATAGCATATTATTTATTAATTAGGAGTTAAGAGAAGGTTATGTGATGCTGATTGGTTTTGGTTGCAGAGGCAAGAGAGAAGAGAAGGAGATGAATACGAATATCTTAAATGATTCCGGGATGTGTAGAGAAACACCACCCATATATGAACCTGAAGCGTCTCCAGACATGTGCATGACTGAAATCAAATCCCCAGAGGGTGAGGGTGCCATCACCATCGCTGATAATGATAATGATAATGATAAGGATATTGAAAACAACAAGCGAAACCAACTATCATTGGATCCAAACAATGGTGCAGGATCAACACCATTTAAAACCAAAGCAGCCACCGGGAAGCGCAAGCGGAAACCAAGGTATGTATTTTCTTTTTCTCAAACACTTGTTCTTATTCTTCATCCTTACTTAGACTTGGAGACAACAAAGAGTGTTTGTTTTTCTTTCTTTCACTCATAACTTTTCACATTTTTCTTCTTTCAAGTGGCAGTGGCAACACAATTCCTACTTTCAATATTACAACTTATTAATATAATATTTCATGAAAAAATATTCAAATGGTATGGTGTGATTATTATAAGCATTAAATTGTAATAAATCAATTGGAAAAATCCCAAAAACATGTATACATGTAACTGTTTTCCAAGTATGAATTGATGTTTGTTGGCAACTTACTTTCATAATTCATTCACTATTATATTTAATTACATTTACGGCATGAGCCTTCTACTTTTGAGTTTTTTCTTAATAGACATTGAAACATCTTCCACACGAAGCTCAGTGAAATTTGTTTTGTAAATATTTGGATGAGATTGAAGAGACATTGAGGCATACATATAGTTATAATTATAATGAGGTAGAGGTAGTGGTAGTTTTTTCAAATGTATAGTACTAGTATGACTGACTAATAGGAAGAAATGAAAGGTATGATGTTGCTATCATTTAAGTATGTAATGTAATGTAACCCTAAAGAAAGCAATGAGCAATGAATCTACTTGGACGGAGTGGAGTATTAATGTTTGTTTTGCGATTATGGTTTGGACTTTGGAGGCTTTGTTTTGATTCTATCTAATATGATCTTCATGGGTTTTGGTTGTGGTTGTGGTTGCAGAGGCAACAAAGAAGATGAGGAGGATGGAACTTTCTTAAATCAAAAGAAGACCAAGAGAAGCCATCTGTCTCTTCCGACTGAAAAAAACAAGTCAAACATCTCATCTGGAGAGATATTCAACGCTCAACCTCACGAATCCCACACCTGGAAGCAAAAACAAAGGTATGAACTGAATGAGTATGGTATTCGTTTAAAAAACTTGCTTCACTTCTTAAACTTGCATTTCATTTCATGGAGGGATGATGATACCCTAAGATGCTCTTTCTTTCTCACCTAACATAACTCTACTAAGTGTTAAATATTTATCAACTTTATTTTGGAAAAAAGAAACATGCCATAACTTCACTGTAGCTTTTCAGGAAATAAGGTTGCTTCCATTCGCTTAATATCACAACTTAACTTCACATTAATATTTAAATTCTTCCTTGTGAATTCTGATTATTGAGTTGAGGATCCAATCCAACTACTTTACTTTTTCAACCATCATATCATATCACCACCTTGGTTGGTTGGTATTTGGAAAAATCCCATTCCCACTCCCAATCCCAATCCCATTCCCATTCTATCATTCATCTAGTGCAAATTCAGGCATAAATGAATGTATCAGTGACATTCCTCACGTCCAACTTTTTTTTTTCTTTCAATTACAACATTGTATGTACATTCAGTTGTTTTTCTTATTTATAGAATTGTACTTTGATTTTTTCTATTATGACGTTATTATACTTTGAAGAAACCACTTAATTGCTTTGTATTTTGGTCTTGGATTGATTACATGACAATGAGATTGGTATGCTATAACTAGGTGGTGGGTTTCCAAAAGTAAAAGTAAGTTGGTATAAATTTAACCCTGAAAGTAACCCCTTCCCCTTGTTTGTGCTGTGCAGGAGGGGCAATAACAACAAAAACAAAAACAAAAACAAACAACATGACAAGACGGATGAAGCTTTTGAACCTCTTGTTGCTGCCATTTCAAATAAAAAAACCAAAACCACCAACAGAAGACCCAATCCCAATCCCAATCCGAATCGTGGGGAAATTGATATATGTTCATCATCATCTCCGACTGAAGCACCACCAGTACTGCCCATCGAAAACACACCTTCCAATACAACACCTAGAAAACGTAAAATGCAGGGAGGAGATGATGAAGAGACAATTGGTAGCTTTTTCGGAAGACTAAAGAGGAGAAGTTGTATTAAGATTGGTGATGAAGAGACAATTGGTAGCTTTTTTGGTAAACTAAAGAAGAAGAAAAGGAAAATTTAAATGAAAATATTATTATTGTTTTGATTTTATTGGATCTTTGAAGGTCGAGTAGGGTGAGATGGGTTTTGATTCAGATGTTGCGAGAAAAGGTTATGTTTAAAAGAATTTTGTATATTGAGTGACGAGTCCAAAGTTTGAGATGTGAATTGTTTATATCGGGAGGGTTTGCTACTTTGTTTTCTTTACATTCAGTGAGTATATTATGTAGGAAAGATACGACAACTTTGAACATGTGTTAGTTGTTATATTTTGATTAATGTTTATATATATATATATATATATATATATATATATATATATATATATATATATATATATATACACACGAAAATATAAATAATATGTGAAAATGAAAGAACCTATCAAAATGTGCCAGTTTATTTATTCCAAATAAATTAAAATTAAATATTGATTATATAATAGAACTAGGGAGAAATTGGTAATTTTATTTTTTATATACGGTTACAAAGAATACAACTGTGCCATGTTCCTGATTGCACGGAGTTTATGATACGTATTTTCCCCCTCGTCGCTTCCCGTAGTTTTTTCACTCACGCTTGCTAAAATCAAATAACACCTCCATTTACTGCCGGTCTTCAAAGTTAGTCTCCACTTCCACCACCGCTCGACCCCTTCGACCAATGCACCGTCTCCAATCAAGGGTTCTGAAATCAAACGAAAGCCTTCATTCGTGATGCATCAAACGACATTGTACTACTCCACCGCTCTTCGCGACTACAGTCCAAGCGACCGCCGCTGGCCATAGTCGACGTTCACTACCGTTGCTCGTTACCGCCGTCTGTCGGCACCACCAATTCTCTCTACAGTCCTAATTCTCTTCTATGGTTCTCTTTTTAGTTTTTTCTTCGTTTTCGGCACCACCAGTTCTCTCTACAGTTCTAATTCTCTTCTATGGTTCTCTTCTTTATTCGTTCTTTCTCTCTCACTGCTTTGATTATGTGAAATTGGTAAATTGACTTTTAGAAAATAATATAAATGTTTTCTTTTTTGGTGTATATGAAGGTATGAATGGGATCTTAGCGTACAATCCTGCGAATTGGATGCTTGAAATGATTACATCTGTTATTGAAGAGAGAATTGGGCCGGACTTTGTCGTGATTTATAAGAACTATAAGGAATATTTGTAATAATTTTATAAAAGCAAGTATAATCACGATTCACTTTTCATGTTTTCGATTTCTTATCAACCCCATCATTTTTTTTTTCATATCTGCAGCCATATCTGTCTAGTGAAACTCCATCAGGGATAAAATCTTTAAAAGAAAAAGCTTAAAGATTTAAGAGGTGATGATAATGGAATCAGAAGGTCTTCAGATCAAATATATGATTAGGATGTTTGTAACGATTTGGTTTTTCATTCTCTTTTACTAAATTACCTTATTAACTTTCTAATATTCTTTTGTTTCAATATTTGATCTTGAAGAAACAAGAGCTCCAAAGAAAAGCAAAGAAGCTGCAATTAAAGATTGGTCAAAGAAATCAAATCTAAAAACCTAAAGGGTTAAATACACCGCTGATATCTTGGTGGATTCAGAATTTGGAACACTTGGAGCAATCACCATTACCAATAAGCACCAAAGCGAGTTCTTCTTGGAGACTGTCACCATTGAAGGATTTGCATGTGGTCCTGTTCATTTCCACTGTAATTCTTGGGTTCAATCCACCAAAGATCATCGAAAACCCAAAATTTTCTTCTCTAGTCAGGTAAATTCAACACTTTTCCCACATACATTCCTAGTCAAATATTGATTATTTAGCTCGTTATTATTCAACATGAAAACACCAGTAACAAAAGAATCCAAACCCAAATACAAAATGTCAAGATTCAAACATTCAAAGTCGAACCTTAAATTTCCATCCGATGACTTATCATAATTTGAATATTCCTGGTCTTAAAAAGATACCCAATTTGGATTCCAAGCTTTCGCTTTCATTGATCAAAACTATAACATTCTTTTTTCCTATTTGCAGCCATATCTGCCTAATGAAACTCCATTAGGATTAAAGTCTTTAAGAGAAAATGACCTTAAAGATTTAAGAGGTGATGGGGATATAATCAGAAAGCCATCAGATCGAATCTATGATTAGGATGTTTATAATGATTTGGGAAATCCAGATATGGGAAATCACTATATTAGGCCATCACTTGGAGGTGATAAAATCCGATATCCAAGAAGATTCAAAACTGAACCTAGTGATTATGTATATTTATAATTTTTATTTATGGCATGATTGATTAATTGTTGATAAAAAAATGTTGATTTTGTCTTGGTTGTAGGGATTTTTATGCTGAGTACATCATGCAAACCTTGAGGAAGTAAATGGTGATGGGGATTTTTATGCAATTGTTGCAGGCTGGACTGGTTAATGCATAATGGGGACTTAGCTAATATATATTTATTTACTGTGTTTATTTTTTTTAATATGTGTTAACCATGAATGAATGACCTTTTGTATTGTTATTTATTCTGATCACCAACAATGTAAAATTTTATTGGATAAATCAAATTTGGTGTTATATTCTTTGAAATTATGTTGAATTTAAGTGTTATATAAAGAAATGATATTCAAATAAGTAATTGAGAAGATTAAGATCGAGCTAAAAAAATGGAAGAAAACATAAAGATTTAAGAAGACAAATTTGTAATAATTTATGATTAAACGGAAAAGGATAAATTTTTTCAACTGTATTATTAAATAGTTTTTATGAAGGAATCATAGTAGGCATAACTAATGCACATATAATTATGTAGAAAAAAACCAACTTACAGTTTCTTAGATGGACATAACCGATTATAGAAGTTACAAATCAGGAAGTTTTTAAAATTACAAGTATACCTTTTTAACCTTCTTGTAAATTTATAATTTAAAAATTATATGTGGGTGATGTGTCAAATCCTAATAGGTTCTTTTCATTTTCACATAATATATGTGTTTTCACATGAGCCCTCCCCTATATATATATATATATATATATATATATATATATATATATATATATATATAGCAATGATCATTTGAGAACTCAAAGTTTCCCGAGAACCGGAGAACCAAAGTAGGGCCGTTAGATCAAAATAATAAAATGCTAGGATCATTTGTGGCATTTTTGTAAATACTTGGGGAAAAAAACACGGGGGCATGATAATTAAATGATTCAGGGGCATTTTAGTGATGAATTACCCTGAATCAGGTAAACCCTGTCCATCTCTCTCTCTCTCTCTCTCTCATCCCACCTCCTACCGTCACATCGCCTCCAAAGACGGCCCTTCGCTCATGTTCTTCCTCATCGTCGTTATCTTTGGTCACCGTTGATCTGGCAATTGGAATCGATTTCTCGCATGGATCTTATGAGTATCATCAGGAAACGCTTGATAATCTCCAAACTACCATGGATAACACCAGTATTCTCTGTGCAGTTATGCTCGATACCAAAGTAAGTCGTCTCTATTCTCTACTAGATCTCCACTAATCGATCGATTGTTTGCAATCTGTTTTTTTGCATCATCTACACAACAATGTCTAATTCTTCTAAGTGTTTATGCATCTGATATGGATCTAATTTTGACTTCTGTGGTAAAATTGACTACTTCTGATATTGATTCTATCACTAAATGGTGTTCAAAAGTATAATCTAGTTCCCAATTATGTTGGGAGGTTGACTTTTTCATTATCGTTTGATGCTATGGTTCGTTGATCTCATCTAATTAGAACTATAAGCTCATCCTTATTGGTCATGGCTACGCCATTTGTTTTCCATTCAGCCATGACATCGGTTTTTGATATGATAAAAACTAAATTATCAGTCAACGATCTCTCTCGCTCTCGTGTTCTTCATCGATTATCTCCTCTCTGCTCGCCTCCCTCCGCACATTAACAATCAGAAAACCTAATCGCTAGAATTAAAGGAAGTCGGTAATCTGATTTATTGCCCTAAACCTGCAACTGTACGGCCATTGGATGCCCGCTTCTCATCTAACCTCATTTATTTCCAGCTCCACCTCAGGTTTTTCCATTACTTATCTAATTTATTTCCATAGAACACTATAATCTCACCTGTTGTGTACATATTTGTTTCTAGTTTTGGGTTTCATTATAATCTGATTTAATTGACATGCATTAGCCCGAAAATAATGTTCCTGTGTTAATGTACCGAATTTTAACAGGCAGTGGATTGCTCTCCTGTGAGTTCAATAGCTGCAAACAAAGCTTCTTTTGTAAATACATCAACTTCTGGTATGCAACTATGCAAGTGAAGTGATGCTCTTTCTTTTGCTTTCACTTGAAATATCTCTTCATGTTCTAACTTGTTTTCTTATATTCTCAAGGGTCACAAAAAATACCTGTAAATAAGATGATGCTGACAGATTCACAGGATCCTTCTGGGAGGATGCATGCTTATTTGCAAGCTAAGCCTTCTAGATACCATGAAAGCAATTCTGGTTTGAATTCTTTGAGGTAGGAATAGGATCTCTCTCTATCTTTCCATATAAACAATCGGTAACACTCCTCATGAAGTTGGACCATAGTATTCATGCCCTACTACTTGTTACAATCAATGGTGTCTGCAATGCAGGTCTTCCATCAGACAGAGAAGGAATCCTAAGGAAACTACTGATCTTACAAGTGTTCAGGAACTTATTGATAAATTTGAACGTGGTTGTCACTCTGGTACCCTTCATCACCACATTCATTATGAATAATATATGCATAATCTTCTTGTGTTGTTGATGTCTGGTCACTGATATGGTTCTTTCTGTTAGGTCTTTTGGACAATGTAAGGAACTGCACATATGTTGGTATGGCTGATGAAGATTTTGCTCTCCTTCAGCATAATACTTATCTATATCTTGCCAATGTTGTAAATTTGAGGTAATATACTACATACTACCTCTCCTTTCTGATCTGTTCCAGCTAAGTACTTGATATATATATATATATATATATATATATATATATATATATATATATATATATATATATATATATATATATATAGTTAGCTTTGCAGAGTTCCTATAGGTTGGGCACTAAATTCCTTTTTTTCCTTTTGTAGCAAAGAGCTCATGTATCAACTGGTTCTGCAAGGATTTGGTTACTTCAATGCAATACAGTTAAGTGAGCCTGCTCCATTGCAAGAACTAATCATGCTGACACTAACTGAAGAAGATCCAGATTCACAAGGCGTTGAGAATGATGACTTAAAAGGAAAGATTGCTCAAGTAAGTCTTTCAGTGGATCATGATTACCTGTATACAGATGAATGCTAAGCTACTAATGTCGAGTCTCTGGTTTTAGCATTACTATCATCATTTAATTACATATGTATACAGATGAATGCTAAGCTACTAAGCGAGAAATCTGAATTGCTGGATGAATATTTTGGCATTCATGTGGATCCACAAGCCAATTTGTCAAGTCTTCTTGTCATACTTGACCAGTACACACCTGACATGGACCGTGCTCCAGAATTTCTTCTTTGTCTCGGAAATGATGTAAGCTACACACCAAAATGTATATAATACAATTATGCACAAATATAAATACATAATTATATCTTGTTTAGGTGACATGTAATGATGAGAAAGTTTGCTTTCAAACAATTGCTGCTGCTCTTGGAAACTTCTATGCTATGCATCCACCTCTATTGCCAAATCCATTAGGTGAAGGAGTTTCACATTTTTATAAAAGACAAGGGAAAGGAAATGTTTCAGGAGGTACGCTTTTTTTTTGCACTCTAAGTTCCTTTAACTTGTTTGATCTGTGTACATTACATCCATTTTTGAGTTAAAAGACCTTAGAAGAGATATTTGAGAAAATGCAACTATAAAACTAAAGACCCCTCAACCTTTCCCATTCAAGGTCCATCTCCCTCATTTTAGTGGAAGTAAGGATTTCACAGGGGGATTTTCGGCACAAATGCAAAGGATAGGGATATATTTTAGAGAGGGCCATTTTTTTCTATTGCCGCGTTGTACTTTCAAAAAAATTCAGTTTGAAGATACCAAATGTAATCGATATATTTGAAACTTTGTGTAGAACAATATACGATTTCTAAACAAAAATATTAATGCTAGAAAATATTGGTGCTTTATTTTTGAGTTTGAAAAAGAATAGGTTACACTTCAAAGAACTTCTGTTATGAATTTTCACATGGAAACTCTTATGTATATTAAACCAACTCTGCTTTTATGGAACAACAGTTTCAAACCATCAACTGCTACTCCGTTCTCTGAAAGAATGCAAGTTTTCAACAAATTCAACATCTGTTATTGGTGCTTTATTTTTGAGTTTGAAAAAGAATAGGTCCTATTTTTCTAAATGGATCTCTATTATTTATGTGTTGGCAGTGATGAATTTAATGTGAATCATAAATATACTAATGCATATTTGATTCATATAAAAGTATAGTGTAGTGGTTAATCTGGTTCTCATAGTGGACAAATATATGTTTTTATTGGTATGATCTAGTTAATTAGTTGTTATGATTGGCTAATCTGGTTCTGAATTCTGTGTGATATTGTGAAGAACTTAGATCTGTTAAGTACTAACTCTTGTTAGATAATGTTTTGACCTTTTTAAGGTTGAGTGGTCTGGATGCCATTAGTTTTGGAAATGAAGTAGAAGATGGAATTATTGCTGCTGATCCTAACCTTTCATCTTTAGTTTTATGTAGTAAAGATTTTTGTGATGCAAATGGTATAAAAAAACAATCACAAGTGAATGACATATGAATTGCATGTGATTCACATGTAATTCACATGTAAATCACATTTGACTTACATGTGATTCACATGTAATTCACATATGAATTACATGTGATTCACATGTAAATCACAAGTGAATCACATATGAATTACAAGTGAATCACATATGAATTACATGTGATTCACATGTAATTCACATATAAATTACATGTGATTCACATGTAAATCACAAGTGAATCACATATAAATTACATGTGATTCACATATGAATTACATGTGATTCACACGTAAATCACAAGTGAATCACATATGAATTACAAGTAATTCACATATGATTCACATGTAATTCACATATGATTCACTTGTGATTCACATGTAAATCACATGTAACTCATATGTAAATCACAAGTGAATCACATATGAGTTACATGTGATTCATATGTAATTTACATACGAGTTACATGTGATTCATATGTAATTTACATATGAATCACATGTAATTCACAAGTAAATCACAAGTGATTAACATATGAATTACATGTGATTTATATATGATGTCATATGTAAATGTGATTCATATGTGAATCGCATGTGATTCATATGTCAATCACATATGTATTTTTGTGAGTATTTTTGCATCGATCAATTTTTTTTATTTTCTTGTAGATTTGGAAGAAATTTTGGTGAATATTGAAGAGGTGAAAAATGATAAATTGAAGAAAATAAGGAAATATTGACACGAAGACATGAAAACACTTTGAAATTTGTAGCATTTTTTATTTTTTATATTTTATTTTGTATCGAATAAAATACTTGTGCTATTATGTTTATAGATTAATTAATAAAAATGAGATTTTTTATGATTTACTTACGAATATTATAGTATCAGAAATATGCATATATGCATTTGAAAAAATATGCATATATGCACCTAAAACTTTGATTTTTATTGTTAAAAAAACAAGAGTATTTTTTTTAAATATTCTAGTTCTTTGTTTTTTTTAATTTATTGATTTTTTAAAATTTACTTTTTAAAAAAATATAGTTTTTTTGAAAAAATTGTAGTTTTTTTTTTTTGAAAAAAATGCAGCTTTCTTTGAAAAACTTGTAGGTTTTTTGAAAAAAATTACAATTTTTTTATTTAAAAATGCAGTTTTTTAAAAAAAATTGCAGTTTTTTTTTGAAAAAAATGCAGTTTTCTTTAAAAAAATTGCAGTTTTTTTTGAAAAAAATGCAGTTTTTTTGATAAAAAAAACAATTTTTTTGAAAAAAATACGGTTTTTTTAAAAAAAATTGTAGTTTTTTGAAATAAAATATTTTTTTTAAAATTTTTTTTCCATAAATTCATGTTTTTTATAAAAAATTAAAAAATCGGCACTTTTTAAAAAAAATAAAAAATCGAAAAATTCAGTTTTTAAAAAAATCCGAAAATTTGATTTATTATGTAACTTTTTAAACATTTATATTAATATGATCAATAACACAAAAAATTAAACATTAAATGAGATTGGTAAGATGACGATCATGTCCTTAATGAATTAATTTTGATCCAACGCTCCACTTTTAGTTCTCGGGTTCTCGGGAAACTATGAGTTCTCAACCGATCTCACCCCTATATATATATATATATATATATATATATATATATATATATATATATATATATATATACACTAGCCGTTTACCCGCGCCAAGCGACTCCTAGATGGAGACCCTTAATTGATCTAGGCAGTGGACTGAGGTCAATTGAATAATTGATGCCTATAAGGAGATATTTTGTTTCGGCAGTTAGTTTTTTTTTTCGGAAAGAAAACTATGTGGATCATATATGTAGCGAAAAAATTTTGGGACGAAAACCAAGAATTTTGGAAACCACTGGGACTATTTATATAATTATGTCTAAAACTTATTAAGAATTTCAATAACTTTGTGAACCTTTATCATCGGATTAGAATAACTAAAATAACAAATTCAAAACAAAATGCATGTAATTACTAATGGTTGACCGTACAGTATTAATTATACAATACTTATTTATACACCACATTTGATATACATACAATATAGTGGGATATACACTTTTATTGTTCGAGAATGCGAAATTAATTCAAACATCTAGCTATTAACAAAATAAAAGAAGTGAATGGAGTTATATGTTTTATAATATTTAAAATAATGTGTCAAATCGATCGACCTATACCTAAAAACCAACAATAAAAGTTTTCGAGCTATAGTTTTTGCCAAATTTTGGTCACCTTAAAATATGCATAAATACTTCCTTTAATTTGACATAAGAGTTGTCTTTTTATCAATTTTTTTAATCAAAGTATTTACTTACAAAACTTAAGGTCAAGTGGTTTGGTTTTGAGATATGCATGTTTCTCCCGTTAACACCCGCTTCCATAATTTATTTTAAAAAATTAGTAAGTATAAAGACCTAACATCCGTTCTTTTGTTTTCGTTTTCTAAAAATTAAAATATTAGACCTTGTTTAATATTTTGTTTTCAATCCAATATATATATTTTTATTTTACCGTTTTTATTATAAATTAAAGAACACTAAAATTCTAAAAATGAGTTAGACCATGTTTTGTTCACTTACCAATAATTTTCATGTTTTTATTTATTAAATTTGTTAAAACTTTAGATATTCGCAATGTTGCTATTGAATTTTTTTAGCATTTATGGTAATTAGTGTAATAATTGATAGGATTAAGCCAAAAGCTTGCGACACCTTTTACTTGTTATATGTTTGATTTTTATTTGGAATGAGTTGTGAAGAAAAAACAACTTTATCCCACATATTTATGGTAATTAGTATCATTTGGTTTCACCCTTTCACTTTCATGCTGGAATAATCATGGAATGAGAATATTAACTTCTTGTCCTAAATCCTCTTTTATATAAAAATTCTAATATTCTATTCTACAAAATGCATGAAAAGCATTAAAATCATGGAAAGAATTGAAAACTTTGAACAGTAAACATGATGTGAATGAAAGTTTAGATATTTAAAATTCATTAATACGTACGTGGGTTGGGGAGGTTTGATGCCTGCCATTTGGAAAAGTATAGTGTCCATAACATTAAAGTAAATTTTGTTGATTCTCTGCTGATCTCATAGCCCTCCAATTACAGGGTAACTAGCATTCTAGGACTCATGAAGCATGTTATAAACAACTTGATTGACCTAAAACAATTGTTGGGAATACATTTGTCAAAACCTGTGAACAAAGGTTATTTATTTATTGGTTAAAAAATTATCTAACTTCACGGGAGAGTGCTTGCATGATGGTGAGTGTTGGCATGTCAATAACCAAGACTAAAGATATAAAAAATGTTAAGTAAACCAAACATAAGGTACATTAATGTTTTACATCAATTTAACTAAGTACCAGCTAAAGTGGATTCTTATTGTGTACCTCTTTTACCATATCATGGAAAGGAACAACATCACTAACAGCATAACACACGAATATCAGCCACAACCCTGGAAAAAAAAAAAAAGAACCTATCAATATCTGTGCAGAAGTTCTTCATGGATAAATCAAGAAAACTATTAAATAAATAAATAAAGTAAACCCCTCTTATAGTATGTTTACACATGCCATTATAGCAGTTGAAGCTATAGATATATAAGAACTAATACCCTCGTGTAGATGACCTTCACATTCTTGCTCTCAATTTCCACCATCTTATAAATACTCTACATCATTACCTAAATATTTTTTTAATTTAAAAGACTATAAAGTGATTGAGAAGGCACAAACTCACCTGGTCATTATGAGATGTATACTACTCTTTTAATGCCACCATCTATGCTCCTAGTAACTCTTTAGTATTTGGTATCGACGTTTCTAGTACCACCCAATGATTTGCCTAATTTCATCTTTCATCCTGAAAAATAAAATAAAAAAATGAATTAGACCAAATATTGATAGAAAAAATAGTTTAATTTGCTAAAGTAGGATATATATTGAAGAATATAAGAAGAAACAAACATGGATGGTCTAGTGCATCTCTTCTGTAGAGGGTAGATTCATTTCAAATTGGTTACCTGGAAGATTTATCCTTTTCTTTTAGTTTGGGACCTTCACAAAATCAGCTCAACTATTGAACTAAATTAACACATATTCTTGACAAAATTGGTCCTAACTGAGATATTTCATATATGGAATAATAAATCCAAATAGTTGTCAAAATAAATTTTATGTTTGAAAAGCAAATATGAATGCAAAAGCATACCTGATGATATCCATTTGTGTCTATGCGAGAGACGAAACCAAGGCAAAATCTGAACTAATATCCCCAAAATAGCTGTCAAATGCACACGCTTTAGCTGATTTCAACATGATGAAGACGATTAATTGAAAAGTAAAAAATCAATTACCTGCTTGATTCGTGTATGGAAGATGAAGAAGAGGATGATGAGCTACAAAGTCGGATTTTTAAGGAGAATCAGTAGGTTCATAAATCAAGGAAGACATTAATGAAATTGATTTATCGGTTTGACCGACTCCAACATCGGCGGTTGATATTGCTCTGGCAATGGGTTTTAGGGCGGATTAGGGTTTCCAACAAAGAAGATAGAGGTGAGCAACCAGTGGGTTTTTGAAGGCTGAACAAATAATGATGGTGGTTTTTCTATGGTGGTGGTGGTGGCAGTGAAGCAATGACAGATCTGAGGTCCTGGTTGTTGGTGGTTCAGAGGGGGTGGCGATTGGGTCTTGAGCTTGTTAGCCAGAGGTAGATTACCAGTGGAGAGGGAAGTGTGCGGTGTGAAGGTTGGTGGTTAGGGAAGATAGAATAAGGAGAGTGGTTGTGGTTTCCTTTAAATGATGATAGATATTGTTTTGATTGTGGGACAATGGTTGATGAAGGTGATGATTAAATACCTAAATCACCGTTTGTATGATCCAACCAATCTAAGATCGAGACCAACAAATCGATTGGATAAAGAGGAGTATGGTTTGAGACTGAGAGAAAGAATACGGTGAAGGTGGAGAGGGAAGCAGCAGCTGGTTGAAGCGGAAGGTAGTCAACGGTGAATGAGAGAAGGGGATGGTTATATAAATGGAGAAGAAGATGAACAGTCACCGAGCGAAAGAAAGGGTGATATAATGGATAGGTTGTTGGGCAGGATAAGGAATGAGGACCTAGTCAAGGTAGAGGCCATATATAAGTGAAGGCACACAAGACAAATTTTAGGCGAGATCGGAGGACAAGAGTCGTAAATAAAGTTTGATTTTTTCAACCCTTGACCGGATAACATTTACTTGCTTTGCAATGCATAAATTCATTGTATATATTGCATAAGTTCTTGTACCTCTTAAAATTCAGCAAAACATGTTAAATGCTTATTAAGGTATATATATATATATATATATATATATATATATATATATATATATATGTTTCACTGAGTTTTAAACCATTCTTTATCGAAATATCTAAATAAGGAACGAGTGAAATTTCAAACTCAAACACACCCAAATTAATCATGACATATTTGAAATATTACTACTATTATGTGATGAGATTGACCTCTTATATGTAGACCTGACAAACGTGCTGTGTCGTGTCAAGACATTAAACGGGTTGAACGTGTTTGATCCTAACCCGACCTGTTTAATTATCGTGTCGTGTCAACCCGTTTATTTTCGTGTCGGGTCTCGGGTTAAGGTTTAGACCTTGTAAATATGTTGTGTCATGTCGGCTTGAAACATTTTGAAGGTTGGAAAGTAGGAGTTAAGGAGGTAAAAAGGAAAAAATGAAACATTGTAGTTAGGAGATGTAATGACAATTTATGGTAAGTTTAGAAGGCAAAATGAAAAAAATTGAAGTTGGGGAGCAAAGGGGATAGATGGTGAAGGATGAGTAAAATTAAGTAACTTTGAAAATTTGAATATTACTTCTAATTGTTGAGTTTGACCCACTACAAGTCTTATAACATATAATATATTTATAAAAATATGAAATTTGTAATAAATAATATATAATTAAACGGGTCATATTCGAGTTGAAAGTCTTGGCCCTAACCCTACCCGTTTAATTATCATGCCGTGTCGTGTCAACCCGTTTACATAAACGTGTCGAAATTTCTGACCCAAACCCGTTAATTTCGTGTCGGGTTTTCGTTTCGTGTCATGTTTTGTCAGGTCTACTCATATGACCCTTGGGGTGGGTTGACGTGTTTGGTTTGTCATTTTCTTTTCTATGTTTTTGGGGACCTTTTCACCAACCGGTCATATAGCTAATATGTGGATCGGAGGTAAGTCGCAATGTTTGATTGTTTTTGAAGAAATTAAACTCGAAAAGAATCAAAATTTGAAATAGTTGGAATCTGTTACATGCATTTGTGGTTAACGGGGACCGGTTCAAATTTGATAATAAATGATTAATATTTATGTGTAAAAGTGGAGTTTTTATATTTATTTGTTTCAATAGAATGTAGTACATGTAATTTTCATAAAGATGGAGAATGGAATTGAATTGAGCCCATCCATCCCTAAAAATGATTACAGAACTAAATAATTATCCATTTGACAACCAAATATGTCGTGATTGGATATTAAATTCCAATTCCGTTAGATTTTATGGAGATACATCGATATGTCAACATCTTACTTGTGAATACTTTCTTCTTAGGGAGGAGGGAGTCGTTCCCTCCCAACCCACTGAACCCAATGAACCCACTGCCATATCAGCTTTTCTCTTTGATTTTTCTTCATCTTTCCCAACCTACAACACACAGAAATCCTATCTTTCTCAACCCACTCAACCCACTCAATTAAAAAAAAATACAAAATAATCAAGGTAAAATCTTAATTAGCAATAGAATTATCGCCGGTACCACTCCCTCTTTAGCCGGTTGTTTAATTGGTTTCACGAACCCACTTCATCCTCTCTCTCTACTTTCTCTCTCTCATTTTCTCTTGTACCGTGTGTTTTAAGATTTGCATCTTAGTTGTTTAGTATTTTTTTTAATTGAGTGGGTTGAGAAAGATAGGATTTTCGTATGTTGTGGGTTGGGAAAGATGAAGAAAAATCAAAGAGAAAAGCTGATATGACAGTGGGTTCAGTGGGTTCAATGGGAACGACTCCCTCCTCCCTTACTGCATGCTAACACTAGATTGTTGGTAAAGTTATGTTGGAAAATTTTGTGCACTCTTTGAACATAATTGGAAGTTGTATGTTTTGCTATTTTGGCAAGTATACAAATTATTAAAAAAACAATTGGCTTAGAGAAATTGTGTTTAGCATAAAATTTCATACCTCTACATCGCGCTTCTTGTAATCCGGCTAAAGAGACCTAACAATGAGGTATCATGACTGGTACCATACTTTAGAAGGGTTGGTGATGTTTTAACAACAGAAATATAATACATGGTCATTGCAGACGCGTTTAAGAACACCCAATCATTTTGTGAGAGCTAAGCATGAAATATGAAAATTGCATCATTTATTGTGACAACCATAATACAATTTGTCCCGGGAAGAATCCAACCTCATACGGGATACCATTTTATTATGTAGTTGATAAGTAATGACATATCGATATGGGACCATTTATAAAAATTATTACACTTTTTATTATAATGGAGAACTATTTATTCTAGCATTACATATCCGAAAAACTTTTCTTCAAACGTACTAAGTTATCGTTAATTTCTCAACATCAACTCCATTATAACTAAAACCGTTTATGTATTTACATGAGTCACCATAAGCCAAAAAAAAAAAAAAAGTGTAAATAAACTATAACCTAATATAACAAATTTCACTAAACCTTCAAGAAGAATCAACATTGGAACAAAAACATATCCCACTTAAAACCACTTCCCCTTTAAATGGTCTTACAGCTGGCTGCTGCTAGTCTAGTAGCATAGCATAGCCACTTTACAAAAAAAAAAAAAAAAGTACATCTGCCAACAATGCAACATCAACCCAAATCAAAGCATTAATGATCCTCTACCCTCACGTTGCAACAAAATCACGGGCAGTTCGGTCAAATTGCAAAAAGATCCACCCAATACCACTCACTCAGTCATACGCCTTCTCCCAGTCCTCCACCACCTCCAAGTTCTCCTCCTGTTTCCCCGTTGCTTCACCCTCACCCACCACAACTTTCCCAGACTCCTCCGCCAAACTGCCGCCACCTTCCGACTCCAAAACACTCCATCTATTCGCCGACGAAGTGATCGGAACCTCTTTCACCGCCGAACTGCCACCAGCCCACTCATCGGAAACACTCCATGAACTCTGCCCCCAATCTCCGGTGGTGGACGACTCCTGCACCACCGCTTTCTTCCATGGGTTCACATGGTCCTTAACTGTCGAACCACCACTGCCACCCCAAACATTACCTCCACCATTCGACACAACCCCAACCACCGCTGCACCGTAATAAACCGACCCATGATCCAAGCGGCGCATGGCGGTTGCCGCCCGAGCCGGGTCACTAAACACCGCCAATGCATTCTTATCATTCAACCACACCAATTCACATTCACCACCAAATCTCAAAACCAAAGCACTCACATCCGCATCACTAGGCAAATCAAACAAAGCCACAACCAACCTCGGGTCCATGTCCACCAACGGGTCGAACCCAAGCGGTTGCACCATGCTCGTTGGGTTCACCCCTTTAGCTCCAAGAATCCGAGCCGGGGGTTTAGACTTGGGTGTAGCATGAACCACAATGAAGCGTTTCGGTTCCCAACCGGCTGCACTTATCGAGAGCTTCCACCTCTCTGCTATCAGCCTCACCGCGTCCCTTTTCTCTTTCAACATCGGACAAAACACATGGACTTTGAGAGCCGCCGCCAAGCCGCCACGGCTCCGGCCAAGAACCACCATCTTGCACCGCTCCTCCACCGCCAAAACCCATTTCGGATCGCGTCTAAATAAGTCGCCTACCATATCAGCAACAGCGGTATTCTCACCGAAATGAAGCGCGTCTAGATTCGGAGTGGTGACACCGAAAGCATCCGCGAGAACTTTTTTCCGTTCCATTTTCGAACATTCATCATCACAAACCAACTTCCGTTGTCCCAGTGGAATCTTTTTTCCGTTTGATTCCACCGGTTGAAGTGGGGCCGGTAATTTCTGGATTGTGGAAGCTTCTAGAACGGTGTCGGCGTTGTAACCACTGTTGCTGCCGCCAGCATCACAAGGGACAGTGGCGGTGATCCGATTACAAGAGCATGAGATTGTGACAGGGAACTCGCATCTTACATCTGGACACTGGTTGAATGGGTGGCAAAGGGCGGTGCACGTGTGGCGGCAGTCTCTCCGGGGAGCACCGCATGTCTGACCACACGAAGCCTTCACGCCGGAAGTGGAACCACCAGAGGAATCACATGGAGACGGGTGGCATGTCCTTAAACAAGCATGCATCCCACATTGCCTTGTCTTCCCACAAATTTTATTACATCTGATATCTTTTGATCCACATGGTATGTTTCTTAAAACCACATGTCCACCTATGCATTCTTTAGGTATAGGAACCGAACATGGTGGGCAATCCCCAAAATGACAGCTGTGGGAAGACACGTGACCACATGGTTGAGGAACCGAACAAGGGTACTGACAAGAAGGTGGCGGTGTACCACACGGGAGTGGTGGTGGGATTGAAGATCTTCCACAAGCACAGGTTAAATCGGTGAAGATAGTCTCCGGGCAGGGCGGGCAGTGCCCACTATGACATAAAGATTCACAATCATGCTGCCCGCATCTTAGTTTCTTCTCACACGGCTTTGAACACATGTGTAGATCCCAATCCTCGAACCGATGCAAATTGTGGGAGTTTGAAAGCGGGCAGCATTTTTCACTGCAACGGTGTCTACCACAGTTCTTTTTACGCCCACAAGGTTTATCACATGTGAAAGTGTCGACTTCCATGGTGGTTTTGAAACATTCCACGGTTCTTGAAGTTGACCCACACCGACATTTTTGAGTAACCATTACCTGACACGGTGGACATGACTCCGGATGACATGTTTCTTTACATTGATGTAACCCACAAGGGAGGGTTTTGTTACATGTTTGTGAGCATGTGGGGATTGGGTCTAAACAACTTTGTCTTTCCTCCTGTAAGCTTGATTTCCCACAGTAGCATGATGTCACCTTTCCAGGCAACAAATCACAGTCTCCGCAAACACCAGGGTGACAAGTTTCTTTACACAGATGATTACCACATCCGAGAGGCTTCCCACAAGTGGAAGAACATGAAAAGATACCATCTTGAACGTTTACTTCACCTTTCACAGCCATGCCCCCACAAACAACCACCTCTGTGTTTTTCTTGCAGAAACAAGAGGCTTCGATTGGAACTTCACATGAATCACAAGGACCAACATGGCAGGTGTTTTCACAATGGTGGCGGAGACACTTGCGGGGTTTACCACATCTTTGGCCACACGTGACAACGGATTTCTGATCGGAGCATCTTGTGGTGATGGTTTTCTTCCCACATGGACATGGTCTTGGTGGGGCAAAAGCTTTACAAGGTGGACATGGTCCAGGGTGGCATTGGAGAACACACCTATGAGGGCAAAGATCATCTCTGCTAACACCAGAACCAACAACTTCTTTCTCAAGTGGTCTTCCACAAGGTTCACCACAAGAATGAGGGGTTAGATATGGATCGGAAGGTGGTTCCTGTCTTTTTCCACAGAAACAAACATAACGGATATCTTTTGAGGATGTGAGCTGAACTGATTGACATCCAGGGCATCGCCAATTGAATCCTTGATTTTTCTCTGCAGATAAGTCGATGGAAGTAGGTGCCCTAGCCCACTTCTTGATACAATGTAAATGGAAGATTGAAAAGCAGCTTGAACAGGACCAAACAGGGGCAGAACGCCTCACCATATCATAACATATCATGCATTCGATCGTCCCTTTTAGAAGTTTGTCTTGAATTTCTTGAACAAGTTGAGGTAAAGCTCCTGTCGTGCCTTTTGAATCTCTCTCCTCGCGAGGAGCATCCTTTCTTCTATCTCTAGTCTGATTTACCCGAGGTATATGCTGCTGCCTTCTCTGTACCCCAACATTTCCTCTATTATGAGCGTTTTGAGGCGGTGGACCTGATCTAATATTAGGTTCCCCACCATTTGCATCTGGAACTGGAGCAACTGTTGACGAGGAATTAGCATCCACTGCAGTGGTGGTGATCGTGGCAGTGGATCCTCTGGGAATCCATTCTTGACGACGAGGAAACCTAGGTCTGTTATCTCTTCTATCACTTCGAACGTGAGAGCTCATATCCACCTATTAAGATTCGCTGGAGTTAGATTCAAACATGTTTGTTTTCAATGTAGATGAGGTATAAATAAAACCTAAAGCAAATCAAAGGCGGTTCAAATGAGTCGGTGAATGGAAAAAATGAAATCAAAAATTTGGAAATCTAAATTGAAAAACCTAATTTGAAAAACGATTGAACATGTCTAGCAAAGAAATGATGAAACAGTTTACCTGATTGGAAGTCGGAGGCGAGTTTGAAAAAGAAATTGTCGAGATTGAATCGGCTATACAGATAAACAAATGAAGATCGATAGCCAAAATCCCAAATCTTATGAACCAAAGCTAACTTCACAAACTGTTTTCCTGATTGACAACTTGAAATGATAACTGGAATCGGCGATGGGAAAGAAAAGTTTAGGAGGTGAAAATGGAAATCTGTTTAACCTACCGATGAGGTACGAATTGGAGCGGCGAGCGGAATTATAGGGGAGACGGACAAAGAGATCGTCGATTAACGCTTGGGGAGCAAGCGAAACGAAGGTTTCGATAGAATCGTGTATCGATTGGCCACTTGTATTATGCGTGGTCACCACACAAACCAATTTCTCCTTCAATTTTAAAAATCCTTTATATAGATTTTCTATCTATATCAATAACAATATTTAAATTTATCATCAACTTCTATATTATTTAATTAAATTACTTGCATAAGTCAAGTGGTTATATAAATTAGTAAAAAATTAATGTTGTTGCATTGCTGATACATAATATAATATTGTAGCAACCTCATGGTACAACGTTGGGATATTTTGTTTGCTAAGCAATGATCCCTATCGTAAAGTCATGTAAAGGAGATTAAATGATTCTATCAAGAGTTTAAGTTGTATTCTATGTCTAAAGAAAGGTAAACCATGCATTCTGAACGTAAGGATCATCAAATTAAGTTAAAGATAATGTGATTAGAACTTAAATATTTGACTATTGAGTGGAAATTGGTAAAAACGCTAAATCAAAGTTCTAAATGATTAAATATCAAATTTCTTTTTGATCAGCATGCAAAAATAAAGATGATTGTATTTTGCTAAAGTTTGGCTACATAAACCCAATGGTTAAAGATTAAACCCGTTTTTTATTATCCGACCGCTGAATAAAAAAAGTCAAAGCTAGATGTATAAATAGAATGAAGTGAATCTTGCAAAAATTGTTATAAAATACGACGGATCCAAATTGACTTAAATAATATTAGCTCAATGCGGAATGGGATCAAAAATTATCAAAGCGTAATAATCACAACGTAATACGAATAAAATAAATAGAATAGAGACACAGGAATTTACGTGGAAACCCAAATCGGGAAAAAACCACGGGCGGAGGAAGCCGAGAAACAATTCACTATAATTTGCAGTGTTTACAGGGATTATGAAAGAGATTACAAATAGAGTGGGAGAGCTAAAATATACGGTGGTGTATCAATATATATATATATATATATATATATATATATATATATATATATTTGATTTTGGTTCGTGGGTTCTTGGGTTAAGGTTATAAGTTCTATGACTTAGGCTATTTATAGCCAAAACATAAAATATGAAAGGAAAGAAAGAAGATGTCCAAAATTGTAAGCGGAAAAGGTTTGTAGGCGACTACCATACATTCTTCATTCCAAAATTAACATATATATATTATAATATTAACCACCGTCCATTCTCATTTCCAAATTCACACTTATATTACTATTCATAGTCAAACTATGAATAGTAAATGATAAGTTACGGAAATAACCCCTGAACTATTTGCCACTTGCTAATTTTGGAGGTAACTTTTCCACAATCTTCACCTTGACATCAAAATTAAGCAAGTCATGCTTTACGATTAGTCAAAACCTATAGCTCATCAAACTCTAAAACTTCCATAAGAACCTGCAATTTTATATAGAGAAAAAATTGTTTCCGAAAAAATAAATAATACTTCCTCCACCTACGAGCCTTCAGGCTCAACTGCGATCAGAAACACCCACCATGTCCAAACATAATTTGAACTTGGCTATAGGAAGACTTTTAGTGAACATATCAGCGTGATTATAATCTGTATGAATCTTGTCCACAACACAATCACCTTTTTCAATGATATCCCGCACAAAATGATAACGAATATCAATATGCTTTGTTCGGTCATGAAACATTTGATCTTTACTCAAGAAATAGCACTCTGGTTGTCACAGAAAACTGTGGTCACCTTTATTCTATCATCGAGTTCTCCAAATAACCCCTTCAACCAGATATCTTCCTTAACTGATTCTGTAATCGCCATGTACTCTGCCTCGGTAGAAGACAGGGCAACTGTAGACTGTAACTGGGCTTTCCAACTAACAGCACTAGAGTATGGAACACGTGCCATGTAAGCCATATCAGTCTCATTAGTAGGACTCAAAGCGGATGATAGCTTGAAATGAGCTGCAAAAGGTGTGTTGACAGACTTTGCTTCGTGCATACTGAAGCGTCTTAGGACTTTCTCAATATAACTTTTCTGAGAAAGATGCAAGATCCTAGACTTCCTGTCACGAATAATTTCCATACCTAAAATCTTTTTGGTAGCTCCTAAGTCCTTCATTTCAAATTCAGCTTTCAACTGGTCTTTTAACTTCTGAATCTCCTTCATATCTTTTGCTGCAATCAACATGTCATCCACGTACAAGAGTAAGTAGATCTTTGAACCATTGTCACCTTTCTTGAAATAAACGCAGCTTATCATAGGTGCACCTGCTGAATTTGTGACTGGTCATGAAAGAATCGAACCTCTTGTACCATTGTCTAGGAGACTGCTTGAGGCCATAAAGAGATTTGTTCAACTTGCATACGTAGTTCTCCTTTCCAGGAACTACAAAACCTTCAGGTTGTTGCATAAAAATCTCTTCCTCAAGCTCACCATTTAGGAAAGCTGTAGTTACATCAAGTTGTTCTAACTCAAAATCGTTAGAAGCAACCAACCCCAACAACACACGAATGGAAGTATGTTTGACAACTGGGGAATAAATGTCAGTGTAATCAATACCAGGAATCTGACTGTAGCCTTTAGCTACTAACCGAGCTTTGTATCTTGGTTTATCATTTGGGTTGACAGGTTCCTTGAGCTTGTAGACCCACTTGCATTTAACTGGTCTCTTCCCTTTCGGAATAGGAACTAAATTCCAAGTACTGTTTCGCTGCAAGGATTCCATCTCATTTTGCATAGCGAGCATCCAATCATTTGAGTCTTCAGATTTGATAGCCTCGTCATAATTCGCAGGCTCCGTTGCGGACTCAATATTATCAGCAACAATAAAAGCATAGGCAACCAAATCAGATTCAGCATACCTCTTCGGAGGAATAATCTGTCTTCTCGGTCTATCTCTTGCAATGCTTGGAGTAGTAGCTTGTGGTTGTGAAGGTGTTGAATCTTCACCAACAACATGCTCATCCGACGAAGAAGAATCTTGATGCTGATTTGTACTCTGATTAGTGGTAGGTGAAGTAGGAAGCTCCACCTCCATTTGAGCATTCTCTTTATTTGCTTCGGATGATACATCTGATGCATCTGTTCTTTTAGAAGAGTCAGCAACTGGTTGAATCATAGCAGACTCATCAAAAGTAACATCTCTTGAGATGATAATTTTCTTCAAATCAAAGCTCCATAACTTGTAACCCTTTACACCTTGATTGTACCCAAGAAAAACGCATTTGATTGCTCTTGGTTCTAGCTTCCCATTGTCAACTCGTGCATACGCTGGACATCCGAATGGTTTTAAATCTGAATAATTGGCAGGTTTACCGGACCATAACTCAAACGGAGTTTTCTTCTCGATTGCTCGTGACGGTGATCGGTTGATAACATAGCAAGCAGTCGAAGCAGCCTCCGCCCAAAAAAACTTTGGCAATTTAGAATTAGAAAGCATACACCGGACCTTCTCCATAATGGTGCGATTCATCCTTTCAGCTACACCATTTTGTTGAGGTGAATGGACTACTGTGCGATGTCGAGTAATGCCTTCCTTTTGACAATAGACATTAAACTCTTCTGAGCAAAACTCAAGTCCATTATCCGTACGAAGATACTTTACCACCAGACCTGATTGCTTTTCAACCTGAACTTTCCAATTTCTGAAGGTAGAGAAAACGTCTCCTTTATGTTTTAAGAAGAAAGACCACACCTTCCTGGAGAAATCATCAATAATAGTGAGCATATAAATAGCTCCACCTTTTGAAGCAACTCGAGCCGGTCCCCACAAATCCGAGTGAACATAATCAAGTGGTCCTTTTGTTGTATGGATACCACTTGCAAACCTTACTTGTTTTGCCTTGCCATATACACAGTCTTCACAGAAATCCAAATCAACAATCTTTTGTTGACCAAGTAAACCTCTTCGACTCAATTCTGACATGCCTTGAAAACTCATATGGCCGAGTCGAAGGTGCCAAAGAGGGGACTGATCTGGATCAGAAAAAGACTTTGACACAACAGCAGCATCACTCGAAATTGTTTGCCCGTCAAGAAAGTAAAGATCTGAGGTTTTTCGTTCGGCTCTCAGTTTGTCGGAACCGTCTTTGAATACCCTGAGAACTCCACCTTTACCAGCAAACTCGTATCCCTTTTTGTCAAAGGAACTGAGAGATAACAAGTTTCTTCTGAGGTCAGGAACATATCTAACATCCCCCATGGTTCGAATAACTCCGTCAAACATACGGATCCTGACTGAACCATGTCCAAGAACTGGACATGTAGTATTGTTACCCATCAACACATAGCCCTGGTTAACCTTTTCAAATGTGTAAAACCAACTTTTGTTGTGACACATATGAAAAGTACAACCAGAGTCGAGTATCTAATCACCAGTGGAATCCAGTTTATCTGAATAAACTGTCAAAAGTTCTCCAATACCTTCGACCTCAGCTAGATCGGCTTCACCCGAAGTGCTAGCTTGTTTACCATTTGCTGCCGTCTTCTCTTTTTCTTTGTTCTTCAACTTGAAGCATTCTTCAAGCACATGTCCCTTCTTGTGACAATAGTTGCAAAACTTTCGTTTGCCTTTTGACTTGGATCTGGTTCTGTTGGAAGATTGAGAAGTTCTACTTCTCTCTGTTGTTCTTCCTCTGGTATTCAAACCTTCGGCTTTAGCATCACTTGAACCACCACCAGTAATATGCTTCATCTTCTCTTTGGAATCCAAAGCTGTATAGACTTCATCTAAAACTAGAGTGTCACGGCTATAGATAATAGTATCACAAAAATGGCTATAGGATTCTGGTAACGACGATAGTAAGAATAGAGCCAAGTCTTCATCTTCATACTGAACATCCATATTCTCTAAGTTATTTACTAACTCTTTAAATGTGGATATATGTTCAGCTAAAGAGCCTCCTTCAATCATCTTGAGATTGAACAACCGTTGCTTCAAATGCAACTTGTTTGGTAAGCTTTTTGGTCATCAACAGTTGTTCCAACTTTAGCCATAAAGAAGCCGCTGACGTTTCTTTTAGAACATCTTGCAAAACATCATTTGACAAGTGCAAACGAATTTGGGATAAAGCCTTCAGATCTTTCATCTCCTTTTCTTCTTCGGTCCATGTATCGGGCATCTTATTGAAACCCAAGAGCGCCTTGTGTAAATCCATCTGAATGAGAATGTCTCTCATCTTTACTTGCCACAACGGAAATCGGGTGTTACGATCCAGTAGTGGAATATCGTATTTTACCGAAGACATGATTAATTACTTGATAAAAAATGATCCCAACGAGCTAATATCACAACATGGATGCTCTGATACCAATTGTTGTAAAATACGACGAATCCAAATTGACTTAAATAATATTAGCTCAATGCGGAATGGGATCAAAAATTATCAAAGCGTAATAATCACAACGTAATACGAATAAAATAAATAGAATAGAGACACAGGAATTTACGTGGAAACCCAAATCGGGAAAAAACCACGGGCGGAGGAAGCCGATAAACAATTCACTATAATTTGCAGTGTTTATAGGGATTATGAAAGAGATTACAAATAGAGTGGGAGAGCTAAAATATACGGTGGTGTATCAATATATATATATATATATATATATATATATATATATATATATATGTAATGCTTTACTATACATACATATATATATATATATATATATATATATTATATATATATATATATATATATATATATATATTTGATTTTGGTTCGTGGGTTCTTGGGTTAAGGTTATAAGTTCTATGACTTAGGCTATTTATAGCCAAAACATAAAATATGAAAGGAAAGAAAGAAGATGTCCAAAATTGTAGGCGGAAAATGTTTGTAGGCGCCTACCATCCATTCTTCATTCCAAAATTAACATATATATATTATAATATTAACCACCGTCCATTCTCATTTCCAAATTCACACTTATATTACTATTCATAGTCAAACTATGAATAGTAAATGATAAGTTACGGAAATAACCCCTGAACTATTTGTCACTTGCTAATTTTGGAGGTAACTTTTCCACAAAAATATTAGTGAAATGTGACATAATTTCATGAGTTAGGGACTTAGGGTCCTCCGTTGATTTTGAGAGCATTGTGCGAAAAATAAAAAATGGCTCCTATATATATATATATATATATATATATATATATATATATATATATATATATATATATATATATAAAAGCAAATTTATTAAGATTTATTAATATTGCGCTAAATCGATAGTCAACATGCGTCGGAATTAGGATTGCCGATAAAGAAAGTTGTATGTAATTAAAGAAAAATAATAATGAAAAATAAAATCATGTGAAACAGATGAAAAAAAACATAAAATTTTAAATCAAAAGAAATTACTTGTCAAACAGATCCATAAACAAACAATAAAAACTAATAAAAAAAAGTCTTCAACCCAAAATGTCAGATAATGATGAATGACTTAAAGTTATATGAAAAGAGTCACTTCCCTACTCAACATGAAAAAAGTCAAGGTAAGCAAAATACCTATTTTGCCCCAACTGTCACAAGTGGGGCGGAGAAGAATCTTCTTCGGTCTACTGCCACAAGTGGGGCGGCAGGTGGTGTTGCTGGAGCCTTTGGGGCAGTTGACCGAAAGCTGTATGTTGGAAATCTACACTTCAACATGACTGAGTTGCAACTCAAACAGGTAATAAATCAATGCAATTAAGTTAATGAATTTAATTCTCAATATTTCATTCTTTTAAAAATACTCAAATACCCTTTTAACCCTATATAGTTTCATTAAGGTTGCAAATAACATCATTAATAAGTTATGTTTTGTTTTGTTCAGAGCCAAGTTGGAGGGAAATTGTTAATTTTCCAAAGCACTATTCCCTCACTTGGTGTTGGTCGTTTGAGGTTGCGTGGAGATGATCTTCGCTACTGTCAGGATATGCTATTGCCAAGCTCTACACACAGAATCAATCATACCAAGAAACTGGAAACTACATATCTGTGACATGTAATGGAAAAATTGCATTATTTGAGGCTATTAATTTTATTACAGTTGCGACTCCATACCTTGGTTCAAGAGGACATAGACAGGTAATCTAAACATTGTAAATTGTTGTTTTCAGATTGGATTGGACATAAATAATATTACTGTATAATCATAAATCACCCCCTTTTTGGATTTGATAAGTTATAGTAATTGCTAGTGGTTTCAGGTCCCAATGTTCTTTGGAGTTAAAAGCCTTGAGAAAATAGGGTACCACAGTTCAGTGGTGGTTAGAAGAACAGGGAGACATCTATACTTGAAAGACAAGGCTAATGGACACACCCCTCTCTTGGTTCAGATGGCCAATGACTCAGAACACCTAAAGTTCATGTAAGCCTTTTTAGGATGTTAAAGGTATTCAGGATGATTTTGAATCAATGAATTCAGAACACCTAAACTTCATGTAAGTATTTATTACTACTCTTAAATCAACGAATTTGACAATTAATCAAAAAATGGTATAATGCAAGATGTGATATACTTGCTTCATGAATGAAATTGAACAAAACGTTTTTAACATTTCTATGATTTGTTAGTTTTTTACCATAATCTTTTATTTTTATGCATGCAGTCTCTTGTTTTCAAACCTTATTATCGTAGAAGAGAAAAACAACAAGTACTCGAGAATATGGAACATACTCGCACACAGGTATGTAAAAATTACGTAGTTACCCTTAAAGTATGTGTTAACCAAGTGTTTTGTTGGAAGGTATTTTACAAAAAAAAACCCTTCTCTTAAAGTATGTGTTGGCCAGGTTTTTTGTTGGAGGGTATTTCACGAAAGATAAAACACTTCTCTTAAAGTATGTGTCGAGCATGTGTTTTGTTGGAGGGTATTATAGGTATTTGTGTGTGTTGTTACATGTATAGGTTCAAGAAGCAAAAGCAGCAGCAGAGAAAGCTCAACGGTTAGAAAATGTGGCGAATAGGAAAAAAATAAATAATTGGGAATCAGGTGGTTTGGTAATTATTAAAGCAGTTTATGGTAACCCTAAAGCAATTAAAAGCACCAATAATCCACAAGAGAAAAAAGATGAATATGAATTAACTTCACACATTGTGGATGTCACTTTACCTTTAAATTTTTTGGTCAATGATTCCGGTCAACTTAATGTTCGTTTATCTTTTCATTTATTTAATTAATTAATTAACGTTATAAACTCTTCTTAATTTTTTGGTTCACAAAATCCAATTGATTCCATTCCATGGCGTGTTTGGTTGCCAAATGAATAGAATTCAGTTCCATTGGAATCGTTAAGATTTTGTGTGATGGGTTTCACCATTCTTGAGGGCAGTAGGAATTCAATTTCATTCTAATTTTTTATCAAAAGACCAAAGTACCCTCATATGTATAAATAAAAACATAAATACAATTTACATATATCACGTAGATAATAACCAAATGTGATATATTCTAATTCCGTTAGATTTTGTGGAGATACATCGAATTGTGTATTTAGGAGCCATACAACTTTCTTTATCGGCAATCCTTTAGATTTTGAGAAAATTTTATCTTTCTGCCAAATTTGATTCTTCTCATTCGTTCTGCCATACATCGAAACTTTTTCAATGCTTCAGAATTATATTTAAACTTGTAAGTATAACCATATTTACTAAACTTTAGTAAATCATGACGAATAGTCTTGTCGATCTTTTGTGGTGGACTTGACCAGTGCACAAGAATGTGTACTCGATCCCTTAGTCCTTCACTTGACTCATATATACATGTGAACAAGGAATTAGCCTTAATTTTCCAAAGATGAAGATTTTCATTCATCATACTATACGACTTGCATGATTCCAAGTTTCGGTCCAATTGAAACTTGGGTGATGAGAATCTTTCCTTATTTGGTAAATTTAGACACTACCACAAATGAAAGAATCAAATTCACATTTCCATTATTGCTAGAAACATACAAACATCAATTTTTCATAAATGCCATTGTAAGGAGATATAATAAAATAAAACAAAATTTTATTTATTTATAAAATGCGGAAAAAACTTTTTCCTTACAATGCAACTTTAAATGAAAACTATGTTATTACATATTTTCTAGCAATCTATCATAACTCCTAAGTAGTAGCTCAAGAATCCGATCTTCGAACCATGCGATTGAAATCCATCTTCGTGATCAGATTTAGCATACTCTTCCTTTAAGTTTCCTTCCCATTGCTTGATCCCGCCAAACATCAAAATGCAACCTAGTCACATCTTGTGTTAAGAATCATCAATTAGGAACTTAACAGAGTTAGATAGTGGACTTACCTGAAACAGAGTCAAACTTTTTGATTCTTCCTTCTCTCAGATCTTTCAGGTAGCCAGGACAGCTTCGCAACCAATGCCCCTTCCTTTGGCAATAGAAACATTTGGACTCTTTGGGAATGGTAAATGGGACTATTACAGACTTAGCTTTTCCCTTTACCTTTTGGTCAACCGGGTTGACCAAGGCCGATCCCTTTCCATTGGGAAGAGAAAGCTTTTCTGGACTTCCAATGTTACCATTGTCAATGTCCATGGAAGTTTGAGAAATAGACTGTGACAACCCAAAACTTTTTCTGTTTCCGTTATACGATTTCCGTTAATAAAATTTGAATTTTATTAATTTTTCCGTCAAACTTCTTGGTTTAGAAAATCATCTAGTTTTATATAATTAAATTTATATACGAGTCGGAACCAAAATCGCGCGAAAAACCCGAATATCTCGAAAAATCAAACAATTTCCGGCCTAAGTGAGTTTACGGCCGTACACCCATTTACGGCCAGCGAAGGGTGGACCCCCCCACCACCCCAGGCTATATATATGAGACCCCCACCCTAATTTTGACCTTCTTGGCCGCAAACTCTCTCATTCTCTCTCTAAAACTCACGACCGTAAACACCTAAAACACCCTCAATTTTCCGGAAATCATCGAGAATCACCATTGGGAGTCATTTCGGGGCATTTAGAACGCGTTTTCATCGAAATCCAACGTCACTATTCTTGAGTTTACGACCGTATACACTTCATATCTTCAAAGGCCGTAAACCCTATTCTTGAGTTTACGACCGTAAACTCATCGAATATTCAAAGGCTGTAAACCCTTCAAAAGACAGTTTACGACCGTAAACCCTGTTCACGGCCGTAAACCCAGTTCACGGCCGTACACACTTTTAAGTGGTGCCTTTGTCTGAAAATCCACTTTCCTCGATTCGATCAAGTCCCGGTAACATTTCTTAACTGAAAGCAAGTGTTTTCCTAACACATTACCAAACGAAATCGCTAATATAGATACATTATGTATTTAATTGTTATTAGGATTCCGTTAAGCGCCACACACTACACCTCGAGGGCCTTCATTCAGTCTGTTGAATCGACGCTTGTGCACAGCTAACAGTGAGTTCATACCCCTACGTTTTTCATGATTTTTAAACGTTTTCAGGGGGGGGGGGGAATACAAGCCAAACACAAATGATTTTGTGAAACTAATACAAAAGGATTTTTAACAAGTATAAAACTTATGCAATTGATTCAGACAAACGATTTTCACGTTTTTATAAAATATTTAGATATTTTATCCCCTTTTGTACTATGTTGAGCATAAGGGGCGTTTTCAACGTACAATCATGATTGCATAGTTTTTCAGATCAATATACGAACCGGATATACTATATTCATGCAAACTATAATAGGTATAGTTTGGGGTTTTCAATACACTGAGTTATACATTGCTAAACATATAAACTATGACAGATTTAATTTATGATATACATTACTACAAGAGTACAACGATTAATAATTATTTAAGTATAATTATTACCTTATACAGTATTCAAACGGATTCAAATACAAGAGAGCAATACAAAATTACATGTAAACTAGATTATACAGAATTGTGAAACTCTACTTCAAAACGGTACCCTTAGGTGTACTGAATTAAATCCTATCACAGTATAACCAGAGTCTCCTGGAGGGAGAGCGTGAGATTTGTGAATAGATCTATTCGGGACTGACAATCCCACACCGGAAATGCTAGCTACAGTTAGGCAGGCATGCCTGGGGTGACAAATGTCATAACATCCGACGCCCGAAGAACGTCGTAGAGGTCACTAGGTCATATCAAGCATGGTTATACGACTCACAATAAGTAAACTAACCTTTGTTTACGGGATTTCATTCTTCATTAGTTTTTTTTAATTAATAGAACTATTATACATTACACTGGAGGATTCCAGGGATACAACAACTGGTTTTATTTTAAATAATAAAACTACTATACATACTGGTGGTAGCCAGGGTTTTCAAACAGAACATATTATACATACTGGGGGTAGCCAGGGTTTTCAAACAAAACATACAATACATACTGGTGGTAGCCAGGGTTTTCAAACAGAACATACTATACATACTGGTGGTAGCCAGAGCTTTCAAACAGAACATACAATACATACTGGTGATAGCCAGGGTTTTCAAACTGAACATTCCATACACAGAGGTTTTCATACAGAATTCATCGTACTATACATATTGGTAGTAACCAAGCATACAAACTGATATGTTTTATACTACAAAGGATACCGTAACAAACTTTCATAGAAGGAACTGGTAACATCATGCTTTTACTAAAGAAAATATTGGATTTTCTTGGAAACATACGAACATTTTACAAGATACATCAACAAGTTTTCACTACGAAACATAGCTTATGAACTCACCAACTTTATGTTGATACTCTTTCAAAACTGCTTGTATTCTTAGGAAATCAATAGACAGGTACCTTCCGGAGTTCTGAGAAGACGAAGAGTATGGAGTCATGTCTTTTTATTTTGCTTATACTTTGATGTATGGAAACAAATTAAACAGATGTAAACCTTTTTAAATTACGTATTCAATGTAATGGTTGTGTTTACTATGATTGCTATGATACAATTGTTGTGATACTACACGTGACGTCCTCCACCCCCGAACGTTTCCGCCATTCCGGTTTGGGGGTGAGACAGATTTGTATCAGTCTATCAGAGCTCTTGTTTATAGTGAACTAAGTATACCGAACCTTACATGGTATACAACTATAAACACTAAGGGGCTGAAGCGCTCTGAAAGTATACTTTTAAAATCTAAGTATTTTATATGAAGTATACAAGTATGCATACATACCAGAACCAGCGTCATAAGTAGAACAAAACAAAAGTATTTGGATGTTGGACACTGCGGTTAAACCTGGGCAGTTATGTAATCATGTCTAGGATCAATATAGCCTGATCAACTATATTTATTCGAGACATGACCAACATGTGCTTGGGAGTGACTTTGGTGTTGCAACAAGCCTAAAACTTACCAAGTATACATACATCAGATATCAATAAAACAAAACACACAACTTAAAATACTATGGGAGTATTTTAGCTAGAGCCGAATACAGTATATAGATTCATTCCAAGTGTTGCTACACATTTCATCTTGGCGATAGTTTACTTTCATTAGTAACTCTTTCTTATTTATCGCTTCGTAGAACACTTTATCTATCAGGCTGAGATATATCTTTGTGTTATATCTCTTGGTTCTAAAATTCTAGAGGACTTACCATCCTCTTTTCTTCATTCTTTTAGAACAAGATGCCTCCCAGAAGATGACCCGTCAGAAGAAACAACGATACCCCAACTGACCCAACGCCACCACTTCCACAATTCGATCATGCCATGTTCCAGGCAGCAGTTACCGCCGCCGTGACTGCAGCAATGGCGCAAATCAATCAGGGCAGCTCTGGTGGATCAGGAGGTGGACCAGACCCCCAAAATCTTGGTGGAGGCCAGGGACACCAGAAGGAGTGTTCATATAAGGACTTCATGAACGCAAAACCCAGTGCTGTCCTTGCCAGAAGGAACGGAGGATACCCACTTCCCCGAATCGATGATCTATTTGATCAGCTCCAAGG